AAGCTCAAATGTATTCTGTATAAGTAGATGTCAACGGAGGAACGAAAGCTGATTGTGGAGGATATTAACTTGTCCCGAGTAATCCACGCGCGTTCCATTGCTTACTCTGCAGTGGCTAACTGATTTCCTAATTTAATATGTGCATACATCTAAAGCGTTCATTAGAGGCATCATTTTTGTCCACACAGCATATCTACCAAAGGTTACCTGGAACAGTCCTCTTCCATTGAAAAATGGTAATGGAGTTCCAAATACCCGCTTGAGCAGCATCTGCAACTTGCGTACCAGTGAGCCTTCTGGGTTATCGAGCTGAATTACAAAAGAAGTCCGCCACAGTACTTTCCTACGCTGTCTACACAGAAAGAAGTGAAATCGAATTTCATGTTCCTCACCTGCCTATAGGTTTCAGTCTCACCGAACGTGTACATGGGAACCAATGAAGCACCACAATGGAAAGCCACTTTTATGAATCCTTTCCGGTGTAGCAGCTTTATTTTGTGTTCTCCTGGACGAGCCAGGATAGACTCTTCGACTCCACCTTAACCCTGCACTCTAATGACTAATTTTTATTTGCAGTTCTTGACACTTGCCTTAAAACAGTTGGCAATGCACTGTCATCTTGCTCAATTTCAGAATAGTGAGTACTAACAAGCAATCCAAACAGAGCAGTCAGCTTAGCTTACTTACCCACAATAATAACTACAGCTTGTCCGACTTCCCTCACCGAGAGAGCGTTCCTGATGCTTTTCTCGTCGCAGCCAATGAATCCGCCAGCAAGAAACCATTCTCTTCTAGGAATAGCCTTATCTTTCGTCACGATTCAATTGTTTCAGTGGCGATCTTCTGTACTTTACCTGAGCATAATGTTGAAGTTTGAATTCAATATGGAAGCACGAATGCGAAGATGTGGAAACTGAAAAAAGCACTGAAAGTGTTGGTTAATTCAACTGTAAAGAGGGGAGAAAAACAGAGAGACCGCTCTTAATATGGTATTGCCCTCTTCGCAGTTGATAATGAACGCTGGCCGATAGGAACTCGGGCCCATATGGGTCCACTAGGTGCCTATTGACCTAAAGCTCAAGTGTGGGACGCGTTTCTTGCGAATACTCGAGATCTGCGAGATTGTATTTTGTTCTCTGCAATCGCGGACAAAGTCCCCAATCTTCCATTCACATCTACCCGGACCGTGCAGCATTCGAATGCTGTCATACACCACAACTTTTAGAAGCCAGCCGATGACCACAGAGAAGGGTGAGGGAAGCTGAGTGTCCTCTTTGTATCATAGTAAAAAGCCACAGTAGTATGTCTTCCGTTTGCCTTTACGATCAGGTGTGAGTATGATATCGACTGAAGCTATCGATACTCACATTTCTGGTTTTGCTGCCTTCAAACTCTCTTGCAAAAGCTGCGTACAGTCCGAAACAAATCACGCCATGTGGGTGTGCTCCAATTATGTAATTCTGAAAATTGGTCGCATAAACCACAATCGGAACAAAGAGCAAATACTTATTTCCCCGATTTTTTTGGCCTTTTCCGTGGTGGTTAGTGCCGCTTCATATAGACGCTACGTACACCGAAGGACCTACTCATCTGGCCCAATATGCCGGCGCAGAAAATATCCTCCAAAGACAGCGACACTGCTCAGCCCCATCAGAGTTGTGTTCTATGAGAGGGTGCATACTGTAAGAGGGTGTATACTGTAAGCGATAGTCACATCTTACCCGTGAACTCCGTCTGGCAACCTCGGAGACGCAAGAATACAGAAAATTCGGAACTCGCTCGAAATTCGAATGGACAACTTTGGAGGACTCACACGATCAGCTGGCAAATAGGTGGTTACATGAACGTCCGACCGAAAGTAATCCATGACCCATTGGTTGTACTTGCACCTGAATTACGTATCATATAGATATCACCTTTCAAGTGAAGGATTCCCCACAAACCCTCTAATCCAGGTGTTTTCGTAGCCACCGTTTTCATACGATTTTCGGTCATACAAATACCACAAAACATATAGGAGAACAATGTACCACAGACCACAGAGAAGCTAAAAGGCACGATTTTAAATATTCAAAAAAAATAACGACATACATACAGAAATCAGCCACCAAAACTGGAGAGGCCAAAACTTATACAATATCTTACTTGGTCATTCCTAACCCATAACTGAAATCAAAGTATTATTGAGAATTCAATCATTACCAGAATGAATGGCAAGGCCATACACACTACAATCATTGGGAAGAGCATTCCGGACGTTATGGCAACGCCTAATGTCTCAAGTTTCCTATCCCATGGCTCAGTGAGCGGTGAGAAGTCAATGCCAAGCAATCGTACCATTCTGAAAAGGCCACTCTAAGTAAGAAGCTTCTATCACACATCATTAAATGAATTTTTAATCGAACCGTGACTGTTCGGAAGCTTGGGAAAGGGGGAAAGAGAGTTCGGAAGATAGCGCTTAACTCTGCACTTCAGTGCAAGGAATCAGAAAAGAAGCGTGTATATACCTACATTGCGAGAGGGCTTTATTAGAACAGGTTCGTATCAAAAGCGAGTTTGAGAGGAAACAAAATGGTGTGGATGGCAGCTCAAGCCATTTAATTACCAAAATATGTTGGGCGAGAGAGCTGGAATCCTCACGAATGACTAGAAGAATGCTCGTTCAAAGTGACGTGAATCGATACAGTCACACTCGGCAGGAAATCTTTCAAGATATGGAACTATTGCGGTGCTAAAATTTTGTGCAGAAAGCTGTGTGGACAGGCTCAAAAACTGATCCAACGCCTTCGCTCTATGTTCCACTTCAAGATATCCTCGTCGGCCATGTCCTTTACCCGTCTGCGCTCTAGTCGCTGCGGCGAAGAGACAGAGTAAGACATTCACATTGTTTAGTTACTGTTTTTGCCATGATGCGAAGTATCTTCGGAACTGGTCAGCTGATCGGATCAGACGAGTTTTCCGAGAGTTCCAACCGCCCCTCCTAGCTGTTCCAATGCAGTTTGGCTTGGCGGGGACATTTTGCAAATTTCCATTGACCATTGCCCAAGCTTTCTATAAGGAGTCGCAGACCCTTGTGTAGCTATGCAATAGTACGAACTTGATTTACACTTGATATGGGTCTACGGACACGGGTACGTTACTCATTGTGAAGATGACCGCTGGACCAAAGCTATTACCGACTGGGTTCCCCGGATGTCAAGCCTACGCGGTGGTCAGACTTCTACGTGAGATCTGAACGAATGGTATGAAGGCAATCAAGTCCCTCGAGCACAGAGAAACCATGGACACTCTAGCACGTTGCAGGGATGAATGGAGACGTTACTGACGTCGCTTGAGCAACTCACTGATCAACGGGAGCACAGGTGATGCAAATGATGGGTCCACAGGTAACACAAATGTGAGACGTGTAGGCTAAAAGGAACTAGTAAACTAGCGAAGTAGGAAAACACCGCCCCATCTCCGAACCGTACAACGCCTTTTCTTGCCTTTTCTCAATCAGTACCATGCGGTTTGATCGCTAATGTCCTGAACAAGGTAATGCATTTGACATTTGAAAGCGATATGTCCAGAGAACTTCATGCATGGTGCTTGTATCTTCCCTCCCCCCCCCCTCCTCAGGAACGAAACTCAAATTGAGCAACCACATCAGTTCACTGGAAGAATCCCTTTGAAGAACCTGATCTCCACATGCTCCACATGAATGATGAGAAGAACTAAAAAGTGCATTGTCCATGGGAATAGATTTTGTGTATAGCACTAGAAGTAGAAGCAGCACTAGAATGCACAACAACAAAGAGAAAACATCTTGGTCCTGCTTCAGGACAGACGCGCGCAGATCTGAAAGATTCAAAGAATCTTTAAAAGAAAATACATGACAATGATGAACTCAGAAAGGACGTAGTACGAAGGCTCGAAGCCCTCTGAAGCCATTAACGGTTAATGCGAATAGAATCAATGAGAACCGGACTCTATTCGCGTTTTTTGCGACGTTTTTGACTTTCGTGGTTCAACCTCCCACTCATCCTGTAGAACCTCTTTTTCAAGTGCACAGTTTCGATGTTCTTTTGCAGAGGGTTAGCATGATCGAAAACTGTACCTAAATGGGATGAATCAATGTGGCGGTATGTGGAGTCGTCGGCGATATAAGTCACGCTCAGCGAGTTTTTGAAAGCAAGCGAACTGAGTCGCTGTTGTGAAAGAAGCCGCTTGCAGGGCCAAGGACAGGTCTGCAGCGAAAAAGGGCAAAATTGCGTCATCGAAAGAACCTCAAAGAGGGGCTAATGCCGTTTGGACTCCAGAAATTTCGTCTTCGAGCTCATTTTCAAATTGCCTAACACCAAATCCACTAAAAACTTGTATATAGGGGTAATTCAACATCCTGATTACGAGTATGACACTCATTCTTGGCGCTGGCGCCAAGAGAGGACACTACGATTACCTCCTGGGCTCAGCCTTAGCAGAGCGCAGTGTCATCCATTAGCGCCAGCGCCAAAAATGAATGTCATATTCGTGATCAGGATGTTGAATTACCCCTATATACAAGTTTTTAGCGGATTTGGTGATCTTGCCACTTTTAAAATGAGCTCGAGCCGAAATTTCTGGAGTCCAAACGGCATTAGCCCAAAAGAGGGTTCTTTTGTCGCAACTGATAGAATAT